CCCCAAAACCCCAAAACCCCAAAACCCCAAAACCCCAAGCGAAGAATTAATTGATTCAAATTGAGAAAATAAATATTTAGTAAATGATTATGCTTTTTGTAATTTATAATTAATTTTCATAAACTAATTAATCAAGTCTGAATTTCTGTATCTTTTTGTGGAACTGTAGTCAAGTTTTCTTTTTCATTCTTTGATTCTAAATCTAGTGCCATGATTGCTATCCAGCAAAATACTGAAAGAATGCCAAATGCATGAAATGGCAAAGGATCAGACAGCACTGCAACAAATGGAGCCGTTAAATTAATTGATCTAGCAACTATATTGCAAATCGCAATTGAAGTCGATTATATTTCAGGAGGAAATAATGCATTTGAGCACATATAAGCAAGAGTGTAAGTAGGGCAAATTCCAAATCTACCAATGAATACAATCGCTGAAATAAACATCTTGGATTTTTCTTCAACACATGAATAGAGAACAGCTGCTAAACAGCACAAAAAGAAGAACAAACTAGCTGAAGCTTTAATACCCAGTTTGTTTATAATTGGAGCAGAGACTACGTAAGAAATCAGCAATCCAATAGATTGCTGTAAGTTGTTCATGTTTATATCACCCTGCATATTAGACATATAGAAATTCATTAAACAAAAGTTAAACGAAGAGACAGTCCATATAAAGGCCATAATAATTATGTTCCTAATATAGTTTGGATAGTGTATTTTTTCTTTAAGGGGTAATTTTTCTTATAACTTAGGGGTCAAATAGTCAGAAATTTCTTAGAGAATCTGGCTTTCTTTTAAATCTTTGTTATTAAATCTAGCTATTTCAGTTATAGCTTGCATAGCCTCAAAATTCTTTAATTTAGCAGAAAGAAATCGAGGTGATTCTTTTATATTAAAAACCATCAGAGTTGAAATCATGCTTGCTAAAGTTGCTGCATATATTATTGGTTGCCAAGTTTTGCCAATAAAAATAAAGTACAGAGGCACAAATAAACCTGCTAATCCCATTCCCAATGAGTTTAAAGAGATTACCAATACTTCATGCTTTTTCTCTACAATCTCTATATTGTAAGCAAAACAAATACCGATATTAATAGCTGCAAGGGCGCCCAATACAAACATCAAGATATAATAGATGGTCAAATCTTAGAAAATTAAAAACCCAAGTTATACTAGAGTAGAACCTATTGCATCAAATATAATGAAGGGCTTTCTCCCATAAACATCAGCAAAGGGTACTAAAAAAGCCATAGATATTATCAGTCCGGCAAAGAATAAACTTCCTAAAAGTGATATTTGAAATTTAGGACTGCAATATAAATCTAACTCTTCAATCCAGTTGTAAATGCCATTTTTAAGAATAGCTTTCCATTATTACTTGCTCATATTACATGCCTACTCTCTGGAGCATTAAACCCAGGCTTGCTATTCTTGATTGAAGCATTGAAAGTCAGGATAGGCAATAAAGTACGAAATGTTATACATTAGGAAACAGCTGTTAGATATCAAGCATATGCAGAGTATTTGATAGAATATTTAGTATCTCCCAAACCCTCCTATCTTTTCAAAAACTTAATCCATACTAGTAGCTTTACAAGAAGAGTTCTGATTTAGTTTAATCTCTGTGTCATAATTTATCTGGGATTATGAGCCATCCTTTAAGAGTGTGGATTCACTCTTTTTCAAAAATAATTCGGAATCTTTATTCATAAAATAGAATTTATTAAACAAGCATATTTTCTATTTGAAGTTTAACTGTAGAATGATGGGGTTTTGGGGTTTTGGGGTTTTGGGGTTTTGGGGTTTTGGGG